AGAGTTTAATTAAATCTGGAAGATGTTCTATTTAATTGATTCAAAGTTGAGAACACCACAGTCTCTGGTAGAAATGATCAATCTGGCCCGAGAAATTCAAATGAAACTGGCCCGGCCTTCTTTTGTGCACTGCCTTTCATGTTTGTGCAGAATGTCTCCTGAGACCTATAGGGCTTAGGATTTCTGCCTTATTGCAGCAGCACTACGTGACCTTGATGTTTAGGAAACCTCTGTTGAGATCCTGGCTAGGTATTGGTTACTCACTGAAGATAGAGCTAAAGAATGAACTCTTTAGAGTTCTTCAGAGTGGTAGTCTGGGGGGATAGAGAATGTTAAGTATAAGAGTAGAGACGTGTGCAGAATATCATGGGGTTGAGAAGAAACAAGTTGAAATTTACAAAGCCCTTCAAGTCTACTGCTGACCAATCTCTCCTTACTCTGGAACCTCACCTCTTCCCTCTGTCTTCCTGGCCCACTGTCATTCATCTACAGGGGCTATTATGCAGTACCCCACATGTACAACCTGTTCTCATTGCTGCACTGACCGTTCCCTCTGCCAACAGTCTTCTGCCTGCCTGTACTTGTATAGCTGGATCCTTGGCGTTGAGAATCTTACCTGAAACACCATTTCCTGAGAATCACCATTCCCTTTAGATAATCTGAGGAGAAGCAAATATTTTCTGGCTCATCACTTTTTTGGTTGGGAACTGACCTAATTCTCATCTGTTTATTTTGTATTGTGTTTTTCCTTGGGAAGTGGTCAGAGATCTTATCCCATTTAGTCTTTTATCCTAGTGGTAGACCCTTGATCAAAATGATTAATTCAATTGTTTGCATTTATTTTATGACTTAGTCATGAACTCTTTGAAGCTATCTATCCATTAGTGTATTTACAGAGTTGTGCAGTCATCGTCAGCATCAATTTTCACAGTGAAAACTGAGCATATTCAACTGGCAACTCAGAGTTACCACAGCTCTAAACCATCTCAGATTTACTCTGTATCTCCATAGATTTGCCTCTTCTGGATTTCTTTGTATAAATAGAATCATATAATATGTACTCTTTGGCAACTGGCATTTTTTACTTATCATAATGTTTTCTAGGTTTTTCCATCTTGTGATGTGTACCATTTTTATAGTTGAATTATATTCCATTATATGTATATTCCATAGACACACACACACACACGCAAAATCGTTTACTTGTTCATCTGGACTGATAGATGCTTGAGTCGCTAATACCTTTTGGCTATTGTAATTCTCTGATGACTAACTTGATCTCTTTACTTGGTATAAATCTTTTCAGATTATCTTTCTCCTTGAGTATTTCTCAGTATTTGTGTTTTTCTAGTATTTTTTCCATTCAATCAAGTTTTCTAATTTATTGTTGTAGAATTGTATACAAGATTTTTAATATTTAGTTTTTATAAGGTAAATAGTAATGTCCTCTCTCATTTCTAATTCTAGTCATTCGAATATGCTCTTCGTTCTTAGCTCATCCAGGTAAAGGTTTTTCCATTTTTTTAATTAAAAAATATCTTCAGAGACCAGAAGATGGCATAATGGTTATTTCCCTGGACTTCTACGTAGTTGACCATGGTTTGAGTCCTGGATATGGCAGCTAAAAACTCACACAGGCACATGTGTGTGCATGTCCAAGATCACATAAAGGGAATGGAGAAGGGATTGTGGCATGGCAATCCCCCCGGTAGAGTTGTGATTTCTCACTTTGTGTCTCTCTGTCTCTCTCTGTCTCTCCAGCAATTGCATATGCTCTGTAGCAAAACATCTCTCTTAGAGAAAAAAAGAAACTATCAGTTTTGTTGACTCATTCATATTTCTATCCTCTGTGTCATAATTTCCACTTTAATTGCTTTCTTTTTTAATTTTAGCTTTAGTTTAATTTTCTCTTTGTAGGGTAGGGTGTTAAAGTAGAAAGTCAGACTTTTTTTTTAAGGTTTTTTGCCATAGTGTGTGCTCTCACTGGAGAGAGAAAGAGAAAGAGGGAAAATGAGAAATTACTCCTGCGGGGGATGGCCACACTGCAATTCTTTCTCTTTCATTCTTCTTTTGGGTTCTTGGACACACACCCAAGTCACTTGGTCTGGGACTCAAACCACAGTCAACCATATGGGAGTCCAGCACCTTTACCAGGATGCCAACTGCTGGCCCTGAAAGTCAAGCTTTTGATTTAAGATTTTTCTTCTTTCTTTATATAGATAATTTAGGTATAAATTTTCTCCTTAAGCACAGCTTAAGTACTGATGTATCTGTCTTTGTTTTCATTCCTTAGGGTACCTTTGATCAGTGAACTATGTTATTTGTGTAGTAAATAGAGTAATAGAAGAATCTTCTTAGCTTCAGGAAATACAAGGCTAAGGTACGACCATGCCATCCCGGTGGCTGAGGGAATGGTGCTTTGTCACTCCCGAAACCTCTGGGAATACTTGTACCATGCTCCCTTTTTGGCAAGCTCTTTTATGGAACTAAGATTAGTTTAGTCAACCTACCGTACTAGTCCATGAATTCTTGAGGTTATATAATCGCTCTAAGATTATCAGTGTACTGTATTTTCCCCCACAGAATCTTTTCTAACTTTTGTATGTAAGTATGTAATTTACATACCACAAAATCTATCCATTGAAAGTAAAATGATTTTTAGTAAATGTATATACTGTTATCTCAATTCAGCTTTAAAATGTAGCACTTTAGAAAGTTCTGTTATGTCCATTTACAGCTCTGTAATTTTAATTTTCTTGAAGCTTTTATATAAATGGAATCATACACTATAATCTTTGTATCTGGATTTTTTTGCCATAATTTTTACAAAAAAATTTATTTAATTCATACTTAGATATTTGCTTAATGAAATTCATTAACTTTTATGTGAATAATTATATTATTTTAACACTTTTTTGCTCATAGTAAAATCTTGACTGGAGTGTTACTCATTTAATTTCTAATATATTTAGTATACTCATAAGACAGTCTAATAATAGGTAACATGTCAGTGAACAATTTGAATGAATTAAAATATTTAGAGTCAGAGAGAAAATGTTATAATAAACCATTAGTAAGTATTCTTTTTTATTATTATTATGCTTTGCACAAGTAAATTTAACTAAAATAACTTCTGTGTTTTCCAGTGAACACTGAGTTAACTTTAAAAGGACTTGTAAGGTTTGTATTTATTGGTGTTTGGCAGGGACAGGTTACTTTTAACAACTATTTCGTGAGTGCTGACCAACTGCAGCTTTGAGCAGTGCTGTTAACTGTCATTCTGAACTCATCTTGCACGATAGGGAAGAGATTCATATTCTTCATCATCATAGTAAATTATGCCTCAGACACGTTTTCTAAATTGTATTGCTTCAACAGTTTGTGCTTTGTTGGAGATCAATTTGTCCTTCTGTCTGGTACTAATTAAAGTGCCTTATTTAGTCCATATTTCCAATAAAGCTAATCAAGATTTTTATCTATTGCCTATTTCATTCCTGTAGTTCAGATTTCCTGCCAGCAATTAGGTAGAAACAGCATGTGAAGTTGCTACATAACTTATAATATGGGATCTGGGGTCTAATAAAAGTAGATAGACAAGTTTGATTTATAAAGAGTGGTGGTGAGTAATGCATAGTAATTTATTACAGTTGTGTTTTTAAGTTTAATTTTAAATATAGCAAATATAGATAAGCCGTATTTTTCAATTAGGACAAAAACTTGATTATTTCCGCATTTTTAAAGTCATTGTTTCATGTTCTCACTGGGAACTAGGAAAAGCTTTGTTCTCTGTGAATGAGGTACAGAAGCATTTTTGCTAAACTTCTACAGTATTTTACCATTTTCGGATATTTCATTTGATTCAGTTTTAGCCCATACCATGGGAAAGAAAATGAAGAGACAATAACTGAGGAATGACAAGCTAACTGGGGGAAGGGAAATGTTTGTTACAGTCCTATAGTAGCCACAGATTTCCTGACGGGTATTGATCTTCAAAGTACATTCCCGACAAGTGGTGAGCATCCTTTGTGTTAATAATACCCTATGGAGTGAGTGAAGATAAAGTTTTATACTAGGGAAACATATACAAGGAAATTAATAAATGTTAATAGAGAATATATAGCATGAGATCTTATTATTTTAACAAAATTTTAAATGTACAATACAATATTATAGTGAAAAATTGTGCTGATAATTACAACAGTGGAATTAAGTATCCGTTATATTTCTTTATTAAAAAAAATGTTTAAGTGCCAGGAAGCAACACTGTTTTTCCCATAGCCTTGGTCTTTCCTTCATCCCATAGTGCTGTTTTTTTAAATGAATTTGAAATTAATGAATCTCTGTTCCACATCCCC